TTCATTCAACTTTGGTAATTCATATGTATCTAGGAATCTGTCCATTTCTTCTGTGTTTTCCATCTTATTGGCGTATAGGTTCTTGAAGTAGGTATTGATGATCCTCTGGATTTCTGCTGGGTCTGTTATAATTTCACCTTTTTCATTCCTAATTGCATGGATTTGAGCCTTTTCTTTCCTTTTCCTGATAAGGTTGGCTAAGGGTTTGTCAATTTTGTTTATTCTTTCGAAAAACCAACTCTTGGCTTCATTGATTTTTTTTTATCGTTCTCTTAGTTGGAGATTGATTTTTAATATGTATCAAAATTTCCTTTTGGATCTTAAGTAGCTTATTCAATAATCATAGAAAAAAGTTTATTGAAATAATGTTTAAAGCTAATATGACATTATCAAAAATACAGGTATGAAGCCAAATGAGTAATGCTACAGGAGAAAGAATTATTTTTTCATGCTCTGGTTATATCTAACAGTATTATGGGAAAATAAGAACTGATTAAAAATGTGGAAATATGAAAAATTAGACTTGAGTTGGTAGAATTGTGTGCTTTTGAAAATCTTTCTCTGTATTGTCTTGTGTGTTCTGTATAATGAAAACAAAAACAAAAAAGATAAAAAAAGTTAAAATAGATAAAAAGAGTGCCACCACACTTAAAACACATCACTTAGTTTATAGGCATGTGTGATATTTAAGAGCCATATTAAAAATTTATAATGTTATATGTGAGAAGATGTCTTGATTTTAAATGCATTTACACTAAAGCACTAGAGTTTTTCTGATACAATTTTTATAATAAGGATGTTCATCTTCTATTTTAGCGATCTTTTTTTTGCTGCTAAATAGCTTTCAAACAAAAGGTTTCATAGATTGTTCCTTCTGTGAGATACTTATATTCCATGTTTAGAGCATATCTAATTTCTGCACTCTATAATAATGTTGAAAATCCTTTAAAATCGGAGAAAAATACTGAACTGGCATGTCAATAGAAGAAAAAACTATTCTACTCAACAATGTACTAATATTACATGGATTAACTACATATATTAAATGAATTTAATTACAGCTCCAAAGCTGCATTATCTTTAAACATACTTTGTTAATTGTGTAGTTAAAACAAGTAATAAATGGTTAAGTGAGCATATGCATTACAATGAGAAAGATATTACAATGAGAAACAACCTTAGCTTTCTACTTTATCTTGAGTTGTGACATTCTCTGTTATTCCCCAGATGAACTGCAATTTAAACAAAGTATGTAACAGAGCAAAGTTGTTCCCTTATTTCAGAATATCAGCAAATTCTTTCATGCCCCAAGGAGAAAATGTGGATATGAATTGTAGAATGGCGGGGAGGAGAAGGAATGGAAATATTGTTTGAGGAGATACAGGGACAAAAACCTATCTTCTCTCTCTTCTGCTTAAATGGTCTCAACTTGAGAGGGAGAAGCACTTTACTTTATCAAGCTTCTCAAGTATTTTGAAAATATTATTGCAACAAAGAACTAATTAAACAGAACATAAATATAATCCAATTACTGCTTTTTTATCACAATCCTTGAAATGTTCCTTCTCTTTGAAAATAATGAAAATTAGCCATCATTTTTTAATCTAACAATGCAGCAAAGTTATACAACTCCAAACTAGGAACTCAAAAAACTGAAGAGAGAATGCAGTAATATTTCATAGCCACGCACCAGCAATCCCAGTCCCCAGAGCTGACAGGTATCAAGTCTTCAGGAGAGAGATTTCGCTCAACACAATTTTAAAAATAATGATAATAAGCTGCCTATTTCTTCTACATACAATGGGAGGTGGTACGTGGAGCATTCAATGCCCTATCCACAGTTGTCGGTGTTCTCTCACAGGGGAAGAAGGGCAAAAGAAAGCGAACCTCAGTTCTGGGACAAAGTCAGAAAAGTGCAGGTCTTACTTCCGGGAACTGAGAGAGAGGAAGAATGTCCTCTTGTGTTTGTGCAGGTGGAGCTGAAGCAGATTA